AAGTACAAGCGTTTTTGTAACTCAGTGTAGGGTTCTTGTAAAATCCCATGGCACGATAACAGAAGTTCAGTGTATATTATTCATGAGCTGATGTTTTATTCATTCTTCAAACAATATGCTCGTAACATCATTGAGTAAATAATGTGTTACCCTGTTTAACCGCACTTTCCGGTTTTCTCCTATAATTTCAGCGTGTGAAGCTTCACAGCATTCTAGTTTCCCTTTTACTTCAGTGCACTCTCTCCATCGCTCCCTCGCTCCCCCGTTCCCTTCCTCCCTCCCTTGCTCGCTCTCTTTCTCACACTCCCACTCTCTCTCACTCCCTCTCACTTTCTCAGTCGCTCTCTATCTCGCTTGCTTTGCACCACACGGAACTGATAGGTTTTTCTTACACATACGTTTTATTGCACTTTATAACATAACATAATAATAATAACAATAATAATAATTAATAATACTAACTGACTCCATAGTAAAGAAAAGAAGCAAGAGTGTTTTGAAATTAATCTTTCTCGAATTTTGCAAGGAAATCATGTGTGGAATTATTAACTTTTTGGGGATTTAAACCAGAATATTCGAAGTAGTGTTTTTGGAAATAAATAGAGTAAAACGTACTTTTAATAGTACAGAAATTGTGATTTTTAAAATGCACAGCAGTAATAAAGTGTATAATTTGTTCAAATTTGAATAAATACAAGAAAAGAAACTTTTGTGAAAATGATGACTATTGTAATATATGGTACTGGGGGCTTTATTGGTATTGCCTAGGGAAATAAAAACAGTGCGTTTACTTCATTGCCCAACCTTTGTACTTTTTTCCCCATCAGAATTCAATGATAATACCGCGCTGGTCCAAATGTAAACATTTGGATCGTAATTTTGCTACGATATGGAAAATGAAACCCGAATTGCGTACTAATATTAATTTGCATTAACATTTCACAGCATGTTTTGTTCTAATTTTCCATTCTGTTACGAGTCGACGTTTTAGTACATGCATTCTTTTGCTAAATAAGAGAGATTTACGGCATTAGTGATACAAAAAGTAACTTCTAGGTATCGCACACATTTTTATTCACATCCATTATTGTATTCTAGTAATGTTTACCACAAGGTGACATTTTATTTCCTGAAACAAGTTTTTGGCAGAATAGTTAGATAACTGCATGTAATTTCATTGATTTGATTCTCTGGGAGGGATGAACATTTTACTACTAAGAATAATAATCTCATTATACGAAGAAAAGTAGTCGTTATAACATGAGTTCGTAAATTCATATTTAGTGAGCTCATCGAGTAATTTTACTTGGTACACCCGACATATCAAGGATTACTTACCGTAACTGCTTGTGCAGATCTTTAATTAAAGATTGTTTAATTCCATACACTTACTGCTACAGAAACACGTAGAGCTGTTGGACTTGGAACTGTTGGACTTGGAACTGTTGGACTTGGAACTGTTGGACTTGGAACTGTTGGA